TCTCTTAGAAGTTAAATAAATCTGTTGCTAAGTCTCAGATGTCCATGTCAACTTTTTAAGCAGGTTCAGTTAAATTATTTGGTTTCACCTTTGGTTTATGTTGTGTTGTTTCATGTGATAGATCTTGCTGAGACGTGGCCACGAGCACTTGAGTTACCATGTGTGGGACTGGGCTGCCCCCAGCTCTTACAGATACACCCAGGACAGGGTGTGGGTTGGTTAAAGGATGTCTGTGGCATGTGGCACTCAATGGGGACAGGGCAGCCCCTGGCTGTACAAGATTTAGAAGGGAAGGTTGGGATGAGTGGCACTGGTCATGGAGCAACTCTGGTTTCCACACTTTGCATTTACTTGATGTCTCATGTGCTACGGAGACCCACATTGAAAACCAGAGGATTTCCTGTCCTATCCTTTTCCTACCCCACAAGGGGATTTCTCAACATCTTTTATCTGCCAGGAGGTGGCACAAAGAAAAACACTGTTTGTTGGGGCCAGCCTGTCCTGATCAGCCTTGTCTCTGTTTTGTTACACATGATATTAAATTCTGTAGGAAATAAAACCTAGATGGTGTGGCAGATTCTTTTTTTCATGCACCATCCTTTACCAGAATGTCATAATCTACCACGAGATACCACTGCACACCCAATTTCTTTGTGTAGACATTTGTGTTCAGAAAGCAGGGGCTGCTGAAGGACATCAGTGATTGGGTTGGAGGGGCTGGTTGCCCTGTGCCCTTTTTCAAGGGTGGAATTGAGGGCAGGAGGGAGAATTTGGGTCTGTGCCACATCTAGTTTGTCATTGCTCACGTATCTGCTGCCAGTTAAGTTAAAATTAATTCTTCAAAGAAAGCTTGTTTATATTTGCTTTTTCAGACCTTTTTATTTTCCATATAACTGTAGAATGGTGTGAGTTGGAAGGGACCTTAAAGATTAAGCACAGTTAACAGCACAGAGCTGATCTTTCCTCCTCAGGTGCCTCTGCCCTGAAACTGGGAAGATCAGGGTCTTGCATGAGTTAATGTGACTGATCTTCACTTGCAAATTTTGCTTTTTTGCAAAAAAAAAAAAAAAATTTTGCTTTTTTGATTTTTTTTGCCTTTTTTTTTTTTTGTTGTTGTTAACATTAAGTCCTGAGTCAAAATTCACCAGAAAACCTGAGGGAAATTATTGTGTGCCCTGCATCAGCCACTTGAGGCTGAAATCTGCCCTCTCCTTCTATGTTCTTGCTGAGAGAAGCTAACTTGCAAGCTTTGAGCAAATTCCCACTTGTTGGGGAATGGCTGGAGCATCTGCACAATCTGGAGTCATTGTTGTGTACCAGAAACATAGATTCTGTTTGCTCTGTGTGTGTATAAAGTAGAATTTGGTGTTGGTTTTGGCTGCCTGTAGTTCAGAAGAGTAAGAAGATTGTAGGAGGAGCTGTAACTCCAACAGCATAATTGGTTTTGACCTTCCACAATTAACACAATTTAACACAACAGCAAAATTCACATAATGACAAGAATCCAAGGGTAAAAAAAAGGCAGATCATCAAAATTTATCATTCAAAGTTGTCAGTTTGTTCAGACCACATATTTAATCTTTCTGTAGAAGTGTTATCTAGAAATCGTGTTTGATGCATTTGGGGTTTTTTTGTTATTGCTAAGTTTAAAGTTCCAAAAATTGAAACCTTGAAGAGATAATGAAACAAACACTTAATATTTATCCTATACTAATTTGCTTTCCACCAATGGAAGTACAACTCTAGTTTACTTGGGATTAATTTTACCTTATGAAAGCTTAAAATGTTTATAAATGTTTCAGAATTTTTTTTGTAGGGCTGAAAGGAAGCCTTGCAAATAAAATGATTTAATGAACTGTGTTGATGGGATACCAAGTTACAGTCACTGTTCTATTGAGATCACTGATGGTGCTGAAACCCAGAAAGGGCCAAAAATTAAGATGATTTCTTTTTTTTTTTTTTTGGGAAGAAACACAGAAAAACTGTATTTGTAATAGGTAAAATCTGTTCAAGTAGGTAGCACTCACTATCCTTCATTTATCTACATCTGTGAAATGACTCATTTGTCCACAAGTGTAAAAAGAGTGATTAGAAAATAAGAGAAGGGGTGTGGAGGAAATTAAGCTCTTCATGATTTCTCTTGAATTAATTCTATTGAAAACTGACTTTTCCAAAGAGCTCATTATTTTGTGCATCTCATCAATGGTAGCTGTTTGTTTTACAGCACAGACAAATGATACAGTTTTTCTATATATCTTTACCCTGGGAAGTGTAATATATGTTGCTAAAGAAGTTTGGAGCAAAGAGATAATAGTGATTTTTTTTTTAAAATAAATCCATTATCATTATCTGAGGTTTGTTGAAATAAAGGGCTGGATTTGTATAGGAGCTTTTTAATAAAAATGGGAAGTGCTCATCAATTTCCAAAAGATGTTAATTACCTTTGCTGATCTAGTAGCTGTGAGAGATATACAATTTAACCTTTTAATCAAGGGACTGAAACCCCTGAGCATCCTCCTTGGCATTCTCTCAGGTGTAATATTTCAGTGAGGTTTTTTGGGTTTTAGGGGATTTTTTTGTAACATGCCACCTCACAGGATCCCTGCTACATTATTTGCTTGTTTGTTTTCCAACAGCCCTGTACACAATTATGTGATCTACTAGATGCCTGTTTTATTTTGAGTGGGAAACAGAGGAACAGGCTCATAAAAAGGTGATTTTACAGTCTCAGCAGAGACATTACAGCTGGGTGAGCAAACTGCAGGATCTGTGCTAACTGGAACTGTCTGAACACTCTGTGGGCTGTGCACTACACAGGTCCAGGTGCTACAAAAATATCCTGTGATTTCTGCATAACTCTAATGATGGTTGGCCTGGGAATAATGAGAATTGTGTGTGTTTGCAGCTTTGCTTTAGGTCTGCTTTTTCTATTTTTTTCTGAAGCAACCTAAAGGATGATTTCCTTCTTGCTTGTTTGAAGATGAAGAAGAAAAAGTTTCACTTTTGAAAAAAAAGTGACAAATTATATTTAGACAACATATGCTGTCTTTTGAGATCATTTTAGTTTCACCTTTCTGACTTTATGGAAACAAAAGCTAATACATGTTTCACCTAAAATGTACTTTAACGGGTTATGCAACGTGGCTAGTGCACATCATTTTTTCAATTTTTATTGCTCATATTGCATGCCATCTTCAGGATCACAGAATACCCAGCTTCTCTTGTCTGTGGGTTTTTTTAATTGATCCTTTCAAATGAAAAAGTCCCAGATATAAGAAGATTTTTATGTTTGAATATATATATAAATATATATTTGGTGTCGATCAGAGCCAATCTTTGGCTTTTTTGGATGCAAACATGAAAATATTCCTGCAAGGAGAGGCTTAAGGCACAAGGAGTTCTCTGACCATGGGGAGAGTCAGGCAGGAGCCCAAAGGCAATAATGTTTTTATACACCTGCATGGCCAGACCATGCTCCTACAATATGCTGAATTGGAAGGGACCCATCAGAATCATTGAGCCCAGCCCCTGGCCCATCACTTGCTAACCATCATTTGGCTTTTTAACCATCATTTGGCTTTTTAACCATCATTTGGCTTCTTTAACCATCCCCCATGCCTCTTGTGATGTTCTCCAGTAGCTTAAGCAACCACCTTCATTTTCTTCCCAAGAGAGGAATGAACTTGTGCTGCAGTAAGCTATGTACAGACACGAACGGAGACGGGGCAATCTGAATCAGTGCCATGAGCTGTTTATTTAGTATATCAGTCTCAGGACAATGGAAACAGGATGTTAACAGCTCTCCGATTTAAATGGAATGCTAAGGAAATGTCACATGACAGGGTAGCATAAAGCCATCTCAGCTTAGGTTTCAGCCAATCACACATAGAGCAAAACATACTGATAAAAATTCTATCTAATTATATGAAACACACATAAAGGTAGTTAACACAATAGGGACTTATTTTCTAACACAATGGCTCGTTTATGGGAGACAAAGCACCGAGACTCAATCATACTAACCTTCTAAAGATATACATTAAATAACCTTGTTGCAATCTATAAGGACCCTCTAATTTTATAAATCCCAACAAACTTGCCTCATTTCCACCCTCCCCTGCCACTGCTGACATTTTTTTAAGCTGTACTGCTCTTGTTTGGCCCTTCCCAACCCCAAACAGATTTGCTTGGGTGCAGAAAGGAAACGACAATGCTGAGCAGAACCAGAGCAAGAGGGATGGAGAAAATTCATGGTTAGGGCCACCAACTTCCAGGATCAGCACTGCCAGAACTGTTTGGCGTCTCATCCAATGACTTTTTCAAATACACCTTGCACTCTCGGAGCAGGTCCTTGCAGCTGGATCCATAGCTCAGGCAGGAGCAGAGGCTCTGTGCTGCCCAGCATTGATGAGATCAGAGGAATTGAGAGCATCCCTGGGAAAACCACACAGGCACCACGGAGCTGTAGATGCCTCAGGCTTGGGTGGCAATTGCTGTGGAATTTTGGAGACAGCAATTTAGGGCTTAGCTGCAATTCTGCCTAAATGGAGCCAGCCTTGAATTCTGTAGTATGCTGGCAGTTTTAGCTTGTTTTTAAATTAGAATTTTTTAAAATGTATCGATAATTCACCTTTCCAGGCACAGAGTTTTCTTAAAATTGGAGATTCCTAACCTTTCATACTTGCCTGCTCTTAAAGTAGAAAGATATATATGAAGTTCCCATCATTTTGACATGTGTAAGGGGTTAAGTCATTCTTGAACAGTTTATCGCTCATCAATTGTAATTAAATATGTTTATATTAAATTATGTTCTGTAATTAATGTAAAATCTCTTAGCCTGTGCTGTTATTAGAACCAGATGCTGAAGTATCAACAATATTTCAACATGACTGTGCTGCCTTGCCAGCTGTCTAACTGTAATTACTTTAATCTCAGCTTGTTATCTAATTATCACCTTTGTAAAGGGAAAAGTACTCTCTAATGCGTACTGATTGTTTCAGATGATGATGAAGAGCGTGAAGCAGCTGTCAGATATCTTAGCCCCGCTTATCTGGATTAGAAAACTTATTGGGAGGCCTACTTTGCTTCAAACCTCGCTGACAGAAAATGGGACAATGGGGAAGAGGGAGTTTTTTTTCACCTTGTTTACCCTGGAAATGTGATTCCAGTAATCACTGGAGACAATGGGGGAAACAAGGTAAACAATTTTTGTTCCCAGGATAAAATAGCAAGACCACGATAAGGCACAAAGTGTGAACCGTTTATGAATTTTCTAGTGGACACTGTATTTGTCTTTTTTTTAAATCTTTTACCTTCATTGCAATGCTGGAGAATTACTCTTAATTTAGTGACATGGGTAGCGCTGAAATGTGGTGGCAAAGTTTATGTTATTTAATGAGTTTTATAAAGCACATCAATATAGATAACCTCTTCCTGGGGAGTCTTGAGTGTTTTAAGCACTGAACAAATTGCAATAAGAATTGTAAGATTTGCTGCTCTCTTTGGAGACTTCATTCATGACAATGCTGATGTGATTTTACAGAGTATTTTAAATATTGTGTAGTGCTTAAAGCCAAAATCCAGACCCTGCACCTAAATGAAATTCAGGGGAAGAAAAAGGTAGAATGCTAAAGTAAAAAATTAGTAAATTATTGGATTAGTAACACTTGAGTAAGAGTGATTTTTACCTAAAATTTTGGGGGTTTTTTTTCCCCTTCCCTTCTGTTTGTCTCCCACCTCCAGGCACTGCTGGCAGTGATGCTTCTCCAAGACTTTTCCTGAAACAGTCTGGATTTTTTAGCTGGAGTATTTTATTTGGTGGCAGTAATAAAACGGGTAAGAAATAAAGAAATTTGATAAGAATGTCTTCATAGCAGTTGTAGCTATTGAAAATGGAGCTTTAGCAAGGCTTCTTGTGATTGAAGTTTATCATTGTTAACGCTGGCATGGTTTGAATCTTGCTGAAATATGTGAATGTAGATGTGTCTTCTCTTTCCTTGGCACTTTCTGTACTACACCACAGAAATTTGCTGTTCTAGTTCTAAAAATAAAGGGGTTTTTATTATTATTGTTATTATTATTTTCTAAAGGGGAGATTTTTTTTGCATGCTCTTTCTCAGTCTGATATCAGGGCACAACTCAGTAGCTGCACAAAAAAAAAAACAACTTTCTGCTATTGATTTGATTGTGTTTTCATTCCTGCAACTCCGATTGTCGTTGTAGCCCAGCTTGACTTGTACATCAGTGATAGTTCAGTCCAGCAGAAGGCTGAGTGAATAAAAATGAGCTGTAGCTTGGTGCTCTCTTACTTATCTCTGATATTTCTGGAGAGAGAACCCAGCTTCAGGTTACCACAGAGCTGCTCAGTCTTGATTTCTCTTAAATGCACGAGAAATTAAGTTTTGCTAGGGTTGAAAAGGTTCAGAACAGAAGCAAACTGAGGCAGCAGAGTTTTGCTGAAAGGCTTTTGGCTGGAGGAGAGGAACACCCTGCCAGGACTTCAGGGCAGTAATTTCTGTTTGTGTAGAACCATGAGCCTGGGCAAATGGATGGCTGTAAACACAATTTCCACGTGGTGTAAATTAGCATTCAATGCTCAAATTTAATATACTCCTTAACAGCTGGAATTTTGGGTTTTTTTGGAAATCAAATCCTTCAAGCAGAAATGTGTCTGTAGCACTTTGAGATGTCAGGGTAAAACACTAAAGGAGAGTCAGTGATCCTCTGTCAGTGGAGACTCCTCCAAAGTACAGATGGACACTGAGTTCTCTTGATGTGATAAATTTGGGTGAAGAACCTCAAACCTCCCAATTCTTCTTCATGCAGATGCAGAAATGCAGCAAAATTCAATATTGCCTTAAATGTACCAATATAATAATGATAACAACAATAATAACAACAATAATAATAATGCACTAGCTTTTGATTTTCCTTTCTAAGCTTTTCTGATTTAATGTAAAATTGATTTACTTTAGAAAGTATTCTATATTTTGGGCAATCACCTGATGCAAGGTTACTTGCAGATGTTGTAAGGTGTTAATTTTTTTTCATTTCTTTTGACCAAGAATAATAATTTGGGAAGTTTTAAGGTGCCCATCTGAGGAAGATGCTATAAAATATTATATTATTTAAAACTATTTTTGACTGACACCATCTTTTCTTGGAAATACATTTGAAATTAAGCTGCCATCTGTAGTATGTAGATCTTTGCTTCTTGTGTAAGGGCTCCATATTGGCCTGTTAAATTATAATGAATCCTTTGTTTTATCATGTCAAGAAACCCTGAACTCAGGGGTCTCCTCCAAAAACAAGACCATGACTTCTGTAAAATAGCCACTCCTGTAGTTCAGGTCAGTGACTTCCCAAATACAAATTCCCAAACTTGCTGCAAGTGCAAGGCTTGGTGAAAAACACAGAACTCAAATTGCCATTACTGAAAAATGATACTCTGAGAGACTGAGTGAAATAAAGCTTGAGGTGGACTCATTCTGGATTTATGAGCTTACAATATGGATGTACACAGGGGTAGCTTTAATATGTAGCACTTCATGGGGTTTTGATGTTTTAAAATGACATAGGTCCCTTTAAAAGGTGCTAGTTGCAGAATAATTTCTTGAAAATAATTACCCCTGCATGAACTCCCTTGATTTAAGGGTTGAGGTATAAATACTATAGATCATATATTTTCATCTGTACTCAAGTGCAGATGTTGAGGTTTTGTTTTTATTAAATTATGCTTTATTACACTGGAATAGAAAAAACATTAACGTGTTTCTGTGCAGATATGCACACACACACTAGGTGGGTGTCCATAGATATGCAAAATACATATTTGATATATCCATAGCATCCATCTATCTATCTGTCTATCTATCCATCTATCCATCTATCTATCCATCTATCTATCTATTTGTGTGTAAATATTAGTGTATATATCTATAGATATATTTGACACAGTGTATTGATTATTTGTGTGTAACTGTAGAGATGTAGGTGCAACTGTGATGCTTTGGAAGTTAATGTGAGCTCTGATTTCACTGCACCCAGGATGTTATTGTGTCTGGAAAAGAGACTTTCAGTGTTCAGTCTCTTGCTTGAACTGTTTGTGTCAGTCTGGCACAAAGTAGCCTGAAAGCTCATATAATTTATTTGCTGTCTTTAAATCAAATATTGGAACACTAAAACCAAATGATGTGACAGAGCAAAGTGTTTCCCTCAGTTTGTAGGGTCTTTTCTACTTCTATTAGCTCTCAGGATTAAAGGCTAAGCTGTTGAGGTTGAAGAGGTTTGCTAATCACAGGGAAATAATTCCAGAGGTCTGTGGGTGAGGGCTTCTGGTGTTTAAGGGTAAAGCCAAGTATCAGCAGAGGAATGTGCAACTGCAGGTATGGTGAGGAGGGGTTTGGTTACAGTGGTGAGATTCAGTCCACATTTTCCGAAAGGAAAAAAAAAAGGAATTTTTTGGTCTGGGGCAGGATGGTGCTAGACAGGTGTTGCAAAGGAATATGTCAATTTTCAGACATGGAAAGAAGTGAGCAGGGACACAAATGCCAATAAAGAAATGGAGCATCTTGTCTGTGAATCAGCCAGGTTGTCTGGTCTGCTTGACAGCTTACAGCAAAAGGTAGCTAATCTTGGGGCTTTGGTTCATAAATAAAATAGGGGAATTGATTCAATTTTGCTTTCTTCAAAATTTATGTATTTCTGGAAAACATAAAGAGTAACATTTTCTTTACAATACTTGGGAAAGCATAGGTGTTGATCAAGTGAATGTAGGATATATTTGTTGTTGCCCTGGAAGGCACGGTTTAAACTCAAGAATTTAGATGCATGCTTTGCATGGCAGATAAATAACAGGGCTGTATTTTCAACTAGTGACTGATGACCTGGATTATCTTTCTGTGATTCAAATTTTTTTATATTCAAATATAAAAAAATTACAGTTTCCCTTAATAATGGGATTTTGGGTGGAAGAGCCTCATTGAGAGTTGCTGTCTGCAGCACATGGATCTGCACAAGTGGTGAGGAGCCAGTGCAGCAGGGCTTGGCAGTGAGGCTGTCAGCTTAATACATTGTGTGAAAATTGGGGCCGGAGGTCACCAATCTCCTGGTACACAAATCTCCCTCTGAGAATCTCATTTCATTCAGACTATCAGTTAGATTAGAAATACCCTAATTATCCCACTGAAATTAAATTACTTTATGTAAGGGTGATATAATGAACAACCATAAAGAAGCCATACAACCAATCATCCTATTAGTCACAGCAAGACTAGACCATACACTAAATGCCTCTGGTTTGATTATTGCTGGCTGCTCTGTGCCACATAAACTGGGGGGGAAGGGAAGGACCTGGGGGAAGATTAGTTTTGATTTCCCTTTCTATTTCACTGGAAGGAAGGAAGGAAGTCACATTTTAATTCCCAGTGCAAACCTTCTAGGTGAAAAAGGTGTGTGGTTGCCTGGCAGAGAAGCCACAAGATGATGAATTATGGAAAGGTGATTGGGACCTCTCTCAGCACATGGCGAATTTTGCTGTTCCAGAGAGCTGTAGGAATGCAGGAAGGCTGCTCCAGCCCCTCAGCTAGCAAACCTTGTGGCTTGGTTTGGAAAGACAGGAGTCTGCTAAGGAAGGCAGGAGCCTCCCCTGAAATGGAGAATGTAAACTCTCCCCACCCCTCCCAATTGCTATAAATTTTAAATTAAGAGGCTCTCAGGCAAAAATATAGGAACAGGAAATAACAGTTCTTTAACAGGGAAGAAAAATAAAAGAATAAAATAAACAATGCAGTACACTAGAACAACACTGACAGAATCAGAACCCAACCTGACACCCTGTGGGTCAGGGTGTTGGTGGCAGTCCCATTGGAATTGTGGCTCAGCCCTCCTGCAGTGTCAGGGGTGGTTCTGTTGGAGCAGGGGGATCCTGTAGAGAAGGATGGATTCTTCCTCTGAAGATCCAGTGGAAGGAGAGGCAGCTGCTGTTCCTCTGGGGAATCCAGTGGAGAAGCCGTGCTGGTGTCTCAAAAACCTCTGGATTATATCTGGGTAGCAATGCTTGGCTCCTCCCTCTGGGCTCACATCTCCCAATGGGATGCTGCAGTTCTTATCAGCCATGCAGTGACATTCAATAGCTTTTATCAGCAGGGAGGAGTGATTGTGGTCACTCAGAGAGAGAGATAAGGCAAACTGTCCACTTGACAAAGGTAATCTGCCATGCAGATGGTGATAGAATACATCTTGCATTGCAATCTTCAGCACCTTGTCACGGGGTCATTCCTTTCCAGATACATTTGCAGTCACCTGCAGCCCTCACTGCTGGAGGAAGGTGAGGGTTTATTATCTTGAGGAGTTGCTTCACTGGCATAAGAAAGTCAGCTCTTAAGAATAAGCAGAAAAAGCTGCATGTTTGATTTTGACTTTGTCTGGGACTGAGAAAACATTCTGTTTGAGCTGGTGTTGAAGTGGCAGAGCTGGTGGGTCAATGACCAGCCCGTTGTGGGTGTGTGTTTCTGTCAGAAAAGCCACTCCTGGGACGAGCTGTGATTGTCATTTAGGGTGGAAATTCCCTCAGAGAGACCAAAAGGTACAGAGAGAAAGCAAAGCAGCCGCTTGCTTCCTTCTGCTGCTGGAATTTCTCAGCCAGAACTTCAGAGCTGCTTCCAGGGTAAACGTTTTGAAGAACCAAGGGATGCTGCTGTATAAACATCCCCAAACTAGCTGGGTATATTAAAAGGGAGGGGATTGATAGCCTGAATAAATTCAGGTGTAAATGTTCAATGACTGTTTTAAAAGATGGGCATGAAAGAAACCCAGGTCTACAGGAGCATCCTAGG